TTGTGAGGAAGGACCCTTCCCACGGGAAACTAGGCCCAAACTGGGAAGGTCCTTATATCATATCAAAGGTTATCAGGCCCGAGAACTGTGAGCTGCAAACTGAGGAAGGAAAAATCCTACCTCATTCTTGGAATGCAGAACACTTTAAGAGGTTTTTTCATTAAGTTTTTATGTAATAGAATCATTCTTTCAATTAAACTGAGAGCTTTTGACCCTCCCTTTTATATGCCTGCAAAAAAAAAAAGCTTCCAACTCAAAGATGAGCTCTTTAGCTCATAAAATACATATGAGCTTTCCAGCTCATAAAATACAGATGAGCTCTTCAGCTCATAAAATTGAGATGAGTTTTCCAGCTCATAAAAATAAGATGAGCTCTGCAGCTCATAAAATTGAGATGAGCTTTCCAGCTCATAAAGATAAGATGAGTTCTTTAGCTCATAAAATTGAGATGAGTTTTCTAACTCATAAAGATAAGATAAGCTCTTCAGCTCATAAAATAAAGATAAGCTACTCAGCTCATAAAATAAAGATGACCTCTTCAGCTTATAAAATAATGATGAGCTACTCAGCTCATAAAATAAAGATGAGCTACTCAGTTCATAAACAGAGCTCTGCAGCTCACTTTGAACAATTCAGTGCATAAAAAAAGCCCACCTCTCAGTATGAACTCTTCAGTTCGTAAAACAAACTCTGTAGCTCACAGCTTACCCTACCAGTCCACTCAAAAGGGTCCTGAAACTTGTGAATAGAGACATATAACTAGATTCAAGATTACAAGTTCAAGAGTCCATAGAAAAACCAGTAGCCATCAAATAAGTACAGAGGTTCATATATCCAGCAACAGTACGAAGGGAAAAAAAAAAGGGGGTAACAAGAGATTCTCAATCCTTATTCGCCCTTTAAACGTCTCCGGAGCTCTGCAACTTTCTCCTTCAGGCGGGCATTTTCTTCTTTCAGCTCATTCCTTTCCTTCTGGGCTTCTGTCAGAAGATTTACAAATCTCTGTCCAGATGAGGAGAACAATATGACAGCCAGAGAAGATCCAGATGAAGAAGAGGAGTCACTAGCATGACCACTTTTGCATTTCCCAGAGGAAGTACCAACGTCCTCAACCTCATCAGATTCAGAAGGACACGAATCAGCAGAATCTGGGTAAGAAACAAAGTCCATAGCGGCACCGGCAGCACTGAACAGAAACAAGTTATCTGATATCACCAGCTCAGAATAAGACACAAGCTCAATTTCTATCATTTGATCAATTCGCATCTCCTCTAACAGATCCAATTCAAGAGGACCTGCCAACCAAATTAATTCCTACGATTAGAAGATTACATCAAGAGACCCGAACAAATACAGGTTGCCAACTTACTTACCTGAATTAGAGTAGCTCCTCCAGGATCTGGGAACTCTGCATTCTCTGTAGTGCAGCTCTATGGATCTCCAAGAATCCCCAGTTACATAAAAGAAGCGATTGACCCATCCCTCAGGAGGAAAAAGAAGGTCAAACACCAGACGCCGTAGCTTGAAGTGCCTCCATCGAAAACAAACAAAGCATGGGACCTCATCCTCCTCAACGTCGAAAAAGTATAAGAATTCTCCCACAGTGGAGAATTTGCCATCACCACGTAAGCGCCAAAATAGAAAAAAATTGATCATGATAGCCCACCCCTTGGGAGAGAGATGAGAAGGACATAACCCACAATAGGCCAAAATGTAACCAACAGCGGGATGAATGGGGAGACACAACCCCATGTCCAAAACCCCCTCAAAAAAGCAAGTCTCCCCTCGAGGGAGATAATTGCAAGGTTCGTCAGAAGATGGGGCTCGCAAAGCTAGTTCCACGTCAAGAAAGAATTTCTTTTTTATCCCTACTAGGTCTGACGATGACAATGACGAAGGCACTAAGTAATGGATCTTTCACTCCCACTCAATTCCGCAAGAGCTTCGTTCCCTAAATAGGGGGAGATTAGGGTAGCCATTGGAGTTGCAGGAAGGCAAAAGGGAGACGTGGGAAGAAGAACACAAAGGTGAAAAGCTTTCGAAGGGGATGAATGTCCACGGAATCAAGAAGTCAAGATATTAAAGAATCAAGAAGCATGCCGAACCCAAAGGCGACGGACCTTTGGGTTTCCAAATTAAGGCAACAGATATGTTTAAAGAAGCCAATAAAATATGGACAATAAAGGAGGGGTTAATGACATATTCTACCAATCATGAGTCATTAAATAGCCAAGGAAGGCTTGATACAGCCTTGTATAAGCCCAGGAGGTCGGATTCTTTCCTCGGTTATGACGGGGTTCAATAATTTAAATAGTTGGATCACGTCCCGAAAGAGACTTCTCAAATTTCTTTGGGCTGATTGAAAGGAGAACTTTATTCCTGAGGCACAACAAGGCTTTGTGAGCATAAGCAGCTGCTAGAACCATATCCCTAGCAAAGCTAGCAGATGCACTAGAACCAACCACACCCTAGTCTTTACACCTAACAACAAGGAGAGACCTTTCAAGAATGAAACCAGATTTCTAGGGGGTCAGTAAGCTCTACTGACCCTAATGGAGTTCTGGGAGGTCTGCACCAAGGGTTTTCAAGCTTCGGGGAATTAGGAGCTCAGTTAGGGGTATACATGGTAGCTCTGGGCCCAGTTGCCTCAAGGGGGAGGAAAGACGGGGAAAGAGCAACATAAACAGTTATGTAACTTAGTAAAAATAAGACAATAGACAAGCCCTATGAAAACAGGGGCTTCTTGGTAGAGGTTCGTACAAGGCCAGCATCTAGGAGCGCTCAGAGAAAGAGACTTCTTATGGTGAGGTTGGATTAGCAGAAAAAAATAATAGCCTCAACATTTTCCCGTTACCCCTCATCCGCCTCAAGCATTTTCAGCTGTAAATATAGGAGTGAGAGGCTGTAAATATAAGAGTGGTAAAATAGTTTTTCTTTATAAAATCTTGTTTATAAAGAACAAGATACAAATTACAGAAATAAAATACTTACAACATTAGCACTAATGGGCTAATGGATGTAATGAGATAGGAGTGAGAGACTCTTCATTTGCATTATACAAAACATTATATATATATATATATATAGTAACATTAAAAATAAAAAAATAGTAACATTCAATATTAATATTTTTAAAAAATAACAATAGTAACATGTTTAACAAAAATAGTAACGTATTCAATAAAAATAATACCATATTTAACAAAAATAGTAACGTGTTTAACAAAAATAGTAACATACTCAAAAAAAAAATATAGCAATATAGAATATTGAACAAAATTGAAAATAAAAATGGTAGCATTCAAACTCATAATTAGAGGAAGAAGCCTCCAATTCTTTAATATCCAAAAAGGAACACTTAAAAAGTAATAATGTGCTCATTAAAAAATAGTAACATGAAAAAAAAATAATAATAACATGATCAATTAGAAAAAATAGTAATATTGTCAACAAAAAACTTAGTAATATGAAACATTGAAAAATTTGGGAATTATTTATCAACAAAATAAAAATAAAATTGGGGATCAAAATAATAAAATATTGAGCAAGTTTTTCAACATTTTTTTCCAAAAACCAACGACATAGAAGTTTATTATGACCAGAACGCAGTAGAAGATATGGTAGTTATTGATGATATTTTAAACTCTACTGATTTGGATGCTATGAAGGAAGAAATGATATGTAAGAAAAAAAATTTGTTGTACTGGAAAAATGATCTTCTTCTGACGCGTGCGCGAGAGAGAATATAAATTTCAATTTCAATTTAGAAGTGAATTAAAGGATAATAATTTCTAATTTAAGAAATTAATTTAAAGCTGCTTTGAAGGTCTTTAAAGTTTCTATAATTGAACAAAATAACACTGGTAAAAGTGTTTTTGGGATTTCAAAAAATAGTGGACTCGAGTACTTATCACCAAATAAGTTTCCTTGATAACCTCAAGTTATTATAAATCAATGCGAGAGACTCAGCTCCAATTTTTACTACGTTTAATGACTTCTCACAGTGCATAAACTTTCTGAATCATCTTATGTCTAAATCTCTTGAATCATGCTTTTAGGATGCCTAGTTTAAGGTCGATTTTGATCTTTGTTTTGAGTTTCTTAGTTTGGCTTGCTGTTTGAGATCAGCTAGAATGCTTGTGTTGAAAGTTAATCAGTGTTACCTTGATATTCAGAGATTTGTTTTCAATATGCCACGTTTTAATGGTGGCTGGTTTGCTATATTCCACCTCATTTCTGCATTGTGTGTCAGTTATGAGTTCTCCAGGGGTAAACCAACTGACACATGAATTCCTACTGCTTAGTAGGACACCTTTATTCATTTGTGAGATATCAGTTGGATGGTTAATGTTTTTGGTTAAGCTTGCAGATCTGCGAGTAGTGTGCTTAGTTGGGCACTTCATGTTTTGGATTCGGCCTTGAGAATCACAATCCTAGTCATTGTTTAAATAACTTCATTGTTTAGCTTCAACTTTACTATCCCAGTCACAGGCAATACCCAAATACAAATGCAATGCATACGTTATTGCATTCTTACGTCCATACACACTAGTAAAATGCATGGAAATTCTGAGGATAGTACACCCATAGGTAACGCAGCCAGAGATCCTGACCATGCACATTCAAAAGCCTATGGGCAGAAAAACTCATCAGACTATCTACCTACTGCGCACAAATGCTATTCATCTCAGTATAACCAAATCAATGTTCTAACTCTAACAATCAAAGGTCACACGAATGACCAGACAACTAGCTGAAATTGAACACAACCAAAGAAAGCCAGAGATGTCACATAAATTTAGCAATCTAACTTTCCCAACAGTGAAGTTTGTCAACAAACGATACAATAAATAAACCGTAAAAAGCTACTTTACATACTTTAGTTGGAAAAGGGCAATTCCACACTCAGTTTAAGTAACTACCATCTGCAGTAGCTGGCAATGCTGCCGTGTAGTTTGCAAAAGGTAAGAGAAAGGGAGGTCAGCTCCTGGTATTTCTCTTTACCTCAATTTGGCCCTCTTAGGTAGGCTGCTGCCCAGACGACTCCTATCAGGTTGCCGAGCCTTCCCGAATGCCTTCATCTTTCTTCTCTTCCTCTCCTCCTCGCTGTCTGATTCAGCCCCTTTTTCTCTGTCTGCGTTGCTTGCTTCCCTTTCCAACTCTTCCCATGTTTTCCCTTCCTCCTCCTCCGAGTCTTCCTCAGAATCCTCATCCTCATCATCCTCAGACTCCACTAGTGACTCACTGTCATCCTCCTCCTCTTCGGATACCGAGTCTGATTGCACATCTGAAGGCTCATATCCCTGGTCTGATTCCTGTGAGTTCTCGGAGTCTGAATCACTAGCTTCCATGTTCAAAAATTCCCATCCACCATCCTCTATGAACTTTTCTGGGTCATCAGTGATTGTCTTCAATATAGGTCTCCAGTTCAAGTTAAGCCTGCTCTCGTAGTACTTGAGGTCTGTCGTATCGAGCCACTCCTTGATGCCATCCAGTGATGTTGAAGGTATAGAATCAATTCGCATGACATCTCGCTTAAAGTCCTTGAATACAATGGTCATGTCAAAGTTCTTCTGCCCAAGACCAACCCTCTCCAGGTTAACTATCTCAATCTCATTTAGGGTGATTACCACGAATGGTGTCTCTATAAGCTCAACCAGGCAGCTTGAAGTTGGGACAATAAATGCCGACGCTTTGTGGGGCACCCCATGAAAGCCAAGCTCTCTCAGCGGCTGATCAAACTCCAAATCAAGAGATTTGAATTGAGGTTGTCCCCACAGATCGTTCACTCGATTTACAAAGTTCTGAAAGTCCATGCTAATTTTGTTCTTCCGATCCCTCTCTCGCTGTTCTTCCTCAATCTCATCAGGGTCATAGGCGGATCTCTTTCCACCTCCAATTGTCTGGACCACATCCATTACCTCAACATAGAACTGCACATCCTTAGTTTTTTTGTTTCCCACCATTATGTGGTTGTGCAGATGGAAGTGCAGAAGAGTGATCATTTCCTTTTCTGCTGGCTGGAAGAATGCATGCTTGACGTTACCATACATGATGTCCACACGTTCATCTGGTCTTGAAGTTGCATACCGAAACCCATTTGTGTGTGCTTCTAGAGTACCAGTTAGCTTTCTTCCCCGACCGCCAAACACAGGACGGATCCATAGATCCGACAACCTTATTGGCTTAAATTTGGCACCACCAAGCTGAAGTTTTTCCTGTGTAACTAAAGTTGCCCTCTCGGCTTTCTCCGATTCCCGGGAGGCAACCTGCCTGCGGAGGGTTTTAATTAGTTGTACCACTTCACTTATGTGCCTTGGGTCCTTTGAGCGGAATGAAACTTCCTTAACATAAATTGATCCTTGGAACTTCAATGTGTTTGAGTCATGAGGATTGAAAGCAGTGCCAGGTACATTGAAGATTATTCGGATATAGCATGTACGATTAGTATCCTGCTGGCTAGAAACACTCTTTACAGTGGCAACATGGAAAGGGACCATGTTTCCATAAATAGGCAAGAGAATGGCTTCATTCTTCTGGTCAATCTGAATCATTAAATCCCTTGGGGGAGGTAGATCATTAATGTTCTTGTAAGCAGTCAACTCACCAGAGGGTTTCATGGCACCACGGTTATCTGCTGAACCAAGACCCCCACCGGCAAGCCTCCTAGCAGTCTCTTTATTTTTTCGGCGGGCAAGTTCTGCCTGGTGCTGCTTCCGCTGCTCCTCCTTTGACATCTCCTGGTTAACCGACCTGAGTGTTGCCTTCGACAAGACTGCCTCAGCACCCTTAGCCTGAGTTTTGACTCTGGGCCTCTCTTCTTCGTCTTCATCCTCGTTGAAGGAATATGCCACATCCTTCAAAGCTTTAGAGCTCATAGAAGTCACCACTTCTGGAGCATTTTCAGCAACAATAACTGTGTCCGCAAGCAAAATAGAGAACTTTTGAGTCTTTGTGTTCTTGGTCTCTGTCTGCAAGTTTTGAAAACCAAGCGAGACATTGAAAACCATGCCTGCTTTCAATGAGCGATCGTTCTTCCCATTTAGACCAAGCCCCGATTCACGAAACTCGAGGCCAATTCCTGTTCCAGCTGATTTTGTCAAGTTTGCAGCTAACTCAGGAGCATCCTTCTCAACTATGGCAAGGGCAGCTTGGTATGCAGCTCCAGCCTTCTTCCCTGGTTTCAAAGCACTAATTGCTGCATCATGGGCCTTGAGGAGAACCTCATAAGCTTTGCTCTGCATTGGGTTGGCGTCTATCAAGAAAGTTCGAGCAATGTTTGAGCAGTAACTGTTGTAGCGAGATCCGATTGCACATATTATTACACTACTAGAATCATAGTAAAGGTTCAGGTCATTGCTTGATGCACTAGGCTTGAGATCAAACTCTCCACCACTCTGGAAAATTGGTGGGTAGCAAATATCAACATTCTCTGCCTTCAGCTTCACTTTTATCCTTGCAGGTTCAAGTATGACCTTCTCCGTGTCATCCATCAATGATGAATGGGAAATTTTCTTCTCCTCATCAATGACCTTTTCCATCTTTGGGACCACAAAATGCTTCATTACCGATGAAGTCAAATATGCAGCTTTCTTGACATTTGTAATCTCAGCAAGATCCTTCACAGCAAACAGGTCTGAGAACCCATTTGATATATCGCTGAGCTGAAACTGTGCATCCTTTAATTTCTTAGCCCATTTCTCCAAAAGCTGCCCTTCAGGAGCCTCTCTTGCTATGTGTCCAACAACAGGGTTATCATGACCATCCAACCTTGACTGAGCATGCACAGCACGGAATACAGAATCCATCAACGCAATCCCGTCATCATTCTTGGTCTTCACATGCATCACAACTTCCACACCCACAACATCCTTAGCAGATTTTCTCACAACCTCAAGTAAAGAGGCCTTCTTCTGGCTGCACAAGAAGTGGATCTGTTGCTTCATGAATACCATAATCGTGTCTGGGAACTCGTATCCTACCAACCACACATTTAGAGCTGACGATTTTAAATATCGCAAATCCTCTGATGGAGGAGGAGTTGCTATTGTAAGAACTTCAGAAGCACCCCATAAATCATCCTTGTATTCAGTCCAGTGTGAATATAACATCTGCAACCGCTTACTGAAGTTATCCAGATTGATAGTGTAACCATTGGCTGCTCCCCCTCCCTTGTCATTAGTAGTCTTTGCATTTCCATTTCGGTGATCAGCCATTGGAAATGGTTCAAATGTAACGCCCTAGTCTTAGCTGACAAGCAGAAATGTGAGAAATGTTAAATAACGCTCAATCCCAACTTCCTTTGTATTGACAAAATTTTGACCTTAATTCGACTACTTTCAATTTAATTTTATCGCTTTCTATCAAGATAATTTGAAAAGCTGGAAAATAAAAGAATATCTGCGGGAAAAATCAAGTTCACGTTATGGAAATTTTGTTGGCAAAAACACTCGACTATTAATTGAAGCTTCAATTTAATAACCTACAATTCTATGTCTATCCAGAAACAAAGCTTGTATAATTCCCTAGTTCGAGGTTGAACAAATTTTAAAATCAAAGCGAATTCTTACACTAAAACTTCAAAAACAAACCCTGGAAATCAAACAGTGACATGGAACACAAACACACGAATCATAAAAGTTCTTGATGGTGCATTTCAACGTGATGCAATTTTGTGATGACGAGTAAATGAAAGGAACAATATTGGAATTATTGGAATCTGAGCTACTAGACTCAAGGGAATGATACTAAGAATTGTTGGGGAGTTGGGCAATTAACACAGTAGAAATATAGTGGTTCACCAGCTCGGGAGCTCGACTAATCCACTCTTCAATGGAGATTCTTACTCCTCCTTTCACTATTTATTATACCAAAAGGTTTACAGAATGTAAGATGTGATATTAGGGTTCTGCCCCTCTGTTGGAGGCGTTATATAGTATTTATAGGGGTATCCTTTAATCTATGGGATCTGATCCGTGATCCTCGTCATCTATCCAAGGAATTCTCCTTGATCTTAGGAGAGTATCTTGATTGATTGAGGATTTTGTGCCTCGAGTGTTACTTCAAACTGCCTGTCGAGTTCTTTGTAGTATCTAGTTGCTTACTCATTGCTTCAACTTATTATTTCGCTTGAGGGGAGCTCTAGCTCTGGTTTTCTGAGCTCTGCATATCTCTGACTTTTTGAGCTCAGAATACCTAACCTTCATGTTTGACCTCCGTTCCCGAACTCTTGCTCAGGAATCATTTTGAGTATCATCAGTTGCCCCCCAGCTCTTGGCCGAGCTGGCTTGGACAAGGGTTGAACTTAGGATGTAACAATAATGGATTCCCAATCAGCGACTTCGAAGTTTGCACGTGAATTTTTTTTTTTTTTTCCATGTAAGTGCTCCTGACTTGAACCTGTTTGAATTGATGAGGGTGGAACAAATGACCTAAGCTGAGCCCATGTCTTTTCCTGATCTCATGACACCAGATAATCTGTTCTTGTTTAGCGCCGCTGCAACTGAATAGGACTTTCCCTTTTTTCCTGAATCTGATCTTTTTTCTACCAGTTCTGATGAGAGCGAGGATGTTGTGACTCATATCAAGACACGCAAGAGGGATCTACTGTTTTCCTTTCCTTCATCCAGATCTTTCCTGGGGGAAGTTCTGTTTTCCTCTGCTGGGCAAAAATTGATGGATCTACTGTCAGCGACTGAGAAGGAGGAGGATGAGCTGAAGGAGGAAAACATGCGTTTGAAAGAAAGGATAGCCGAACTGCAGAGATGACTAGGAATTTTGCTTTGATTAGTTTTTTTTTTTTTTGGTAATCTTTGATGTTCTTGAAACCTTGAGTTTCTCTTTCCATGTTTGCCGCTTCTTATACACAATTTGTTGCTTTAAGAATCTGGCAGCTGATCTTCCATGTCGTTTCCTGGCTTGTGGACCAAAGACCCCCATTTTTCCTTTTTGTAATGGATAGAAGCTGTGAAGCTTTCCTTCTAATCTACGTGCTGCAGGTCTTGATTTTAGTTTTTCTGGACNTTCCATGTCGTTTCCTGGCTTGTGGACCAAAGACCCCCATTTTTCCTTTTTGTAATGGATAGAAGCTGTGAAGCTTTCCTTCTAATCTACGTGCTGTAGGTCTTGATTTTAGTTTTTCTGGACCGGGAAGCGCATTCTGAGCTGCTGCGTTTGCTTTAGGGACAGAAGAACTCGTCCTGCACTACTGAGCTATTTATATGGACTGATAAGTTCAACGTGAGCTCCAGGGCTCTTTTTATGAACTAACGAGTTCATCGTGAGCTCTAAGGCTCTTATTACGGACTAACGAGTTCGTCGTGAGCTCCAGGGCTCTTATTACGGACTAACAAGTTCGTCGTGAGCTCCAGGACTCTTATTACGAACTAATGAGTTCGTCGTGAGCTCCAGGACTCTTTTTATGAACTAACGAGTTCATCGTGAGCTCTAGGGCTCTTTTTATGAACTAATGAGTTCATCGTGAGCTCTAAGGCTTTTATTACGGACTAATGAGTTCGTCGTGAACTCCAGGGCTCTTTTTATGAATTAACGAGTTCGTCGTAAACTCCAGGGCTCTTTTTATGAACTAACGAGTTCATCGTGAGCTCTAAGACTCTTATTATGAACTAATGAGTTCATCGTGAGCTCTAAGGCTCTTTTTATGAACTAACGAGTTCGTCGTGAGTTTCAGGACTCTTATTACGGACTAATGAGTTCGTCGTGAGCTCCAGGGCTCTTTTTATGAACTAACGAGTTCATCGTGAGCTCTAGGGCTCTTTTTATGAACTAATGAGTTCATCGTGAGCTTTAAGGCTTTTATTACGGACTAATGAGTTCGTCGTGAACTCCAGGGCTCTTTTTATGAATTAACGAGTTCGTCGTAAAATCCAGGGCTCTTTTTATGAACTAACGAGTTCATCGTGAGCTCTAAGACTCTTATTATGAACTAATGAGTTCATCGTGAGCTCTAAGGCTCTTTTTATGAACTAACGAGTTCGTCGTGAGTTTCAGGACTCTTATTACGGACTAATGAGTTCGTCGTGAGCTCCAGAGCTCTTTTTATGAACTAACGAGTTCATCGTGAACTCTAGGGCTCTTTTTATGAACTAATGAGTTCATCGTGAGCTCTAAGGCTTTTTTTTTATGAACTAACGAGTTCATCGTGAGCTCTAAGGCTCTTACTATGGACTAATGAGTTCGTCGTGAGCTCCCGGGCTCTTCATAAGAGTGAATGAACCACAGACTTGCTGCATTATTAATAATCATATTACAGGACAAATTTACTGAAAAAATTTTCTAAGATGTTCTGCATTCCAAGAGAGGTAAAATTTTCGCCAGGTCTACTTTCATCCAGGGTGGCCACCTTAGAAATTTTTCATTTTTTACCTCATACAAGATTTGCGATATTGTTGCGATGAGTGGAGGGACCTACTGAGGTGCTTACCTCGACTGCAACTCTGGATGAGGTGGTACCAAGCGATCTCTGACGTCTCCCCTTCTTTGGGGGGATCGATCTCTGTCTCTCCTTGGGGACCTATCTCGTCCTCTTTTTCTTCTGGGACTTCGGTCCCTCTTTTTCTCTTCTTTTCCTTTGTCTTTTTCATGGATGAGCTCCCCACTTTTGAGAGGAGAGCTTCAATACCGTTTATGTACTTTTTTGCCTAGGCTAGTACTTCGATCATGCTGGCCTGAGAATTTTTCAAAATAGAGAACATCAAGTCTTTAGATTGTACGCCTAAACCAATTATGAATGCAGTAATGACAAATTTCTCGTCTGGGACATCCACTTTTAGTGATTCAGAGTTGAACCTCTGAACATAGGATCTGAGGTTCTCTTAGGGTCCCTGCTTCACATTCAACAGGTGGTAACTCGACTTTCTGTACGTTCGAGCTCCTATGAAGTGAGATACAAAGGATATGGATAGTTCCTTAAAGGAGGAAATTGAGGTAGAGGGGAGCCTATTGAACTACGCCAGGGCTGAGCCTTTCAGCGTGATGGCAAAGGCTTTGCAGCGCACTAGATCCGGGTATCCATGCAACTTCATCTGGTTCTTGTAATTGTTGAGGTGATCTACAGGATCCTTTGTTTTATCAAAAGCCTCTATCTGCGGTACTCTGAATTTCAGAGAGAAGGGAAAATGCAGCACGCCAGTGGTAAACGGAGATTCAGTCTGTTGTATCAAGGCATCCATCGTAACTGGAGCCTTGCCTCTCACGACTTCCTTCATGTGGCTGAGTTCTTGCTAAATACCCTGGAAGCACTGCTCCTAGTACCGTTCTCTCCTTTCCTGTTGATAGAGGAAAAAATCGTTCCTCTCGCCCCCGTCATTCTGACTTTGTACTTCTTCATTGCGTCCATTCCTGGGGGGATACGAGGTTCTGGCCCCATGGTTTGACCGTTTTCCCCTTCTTCATTGACTTCCCTGAGGGGGTCGAGGTGTGATTGCTCCCTAGGTGGTGGGTTGTTCTGGCCTTCTTGAGCCTGTCGCGCCTCCTGTGGGCGTTGTAAGAGCTTTAAGAGTTCTTCGTTTTGTTTCAGCAAGAGTTGATTGACGAGGCGAAGGACCTCCATCTCGTTATTCATGGGGAGACCCCCCACGGGTGGATTGGTCTCTTGGACGTTCTCAGGTTGTCTGTTATTAGTAACTTCTTGTTGATCTTGCATCCGTAGTGGATTTGTCTGACTTCGGCTCATGTTTTGCGTTGATACCATCAGTCACTGAAAGATCAATTTATTTATAACAGAAACAGTCGTTTCCCACAGACGGTGCCAAACTGATGGTGTATTTCAACGTGATGCAATTTTGTGAAGACGAGTAAATGAAAGAAACAATATTAAAATTATTAGGATCTGAGCTATTAGACTCGAGGGAATGATACTGAGAATTGTTGGGGAGTTGGGGAATTAACACAATAGAAATATAGTAGTTCACTAGCTCAAGAACTCGGCTAATCCATTTTTCAATGGAGATTGTTGCTTCTTTCTTCACTATTTACTATATCAAAAGGTTTACAGAATATAAGATGTGATACTAGGGTTCTGCCCCTCTGTTGGGGGCGCTCCATAGTATTTATAGGAGTATCCCTTAATCTATGGGATCTGATCCGTGATCCTCGCCATCTATTCGAGGAATTCTCCTTGATCTTAGGAGAGTATCTTCGTTGGTTGAACATTTTGTGCCTTGAGTGTTACTTCAAACTGTCTGTCGAGTTCTTT